ACACATATTTTGAATCGTCGCCAAGCTTGTTGGAATATATCTTTATCAAGTTTTGATTTCAAAATCACCTATGGACCCAAAAAGCAACAAGGTTTATTAGATGTCATTTTTATACATTCTTATCTTATATCAAAAGAAAGAAATTTAACTTTTGATCAACAAAAAACTATTCTCATAAAGCTGAAGCATTTTTATCTTTGAGCAATAAAATCAACATTATTTGTTGATTCAATCTTTGTTAAGCAAATTCAATTAAGTATGTCTTGTGATTTTCTTATTCATAATATCAAGAATAATTCTTTTAAGTCTCATGATACTTTCAAGTTCAAGTTTAAGAATAATCTACTCTACTTCGATAAATGTTTATACATTCCAAAAGGCAAAGCGTGATTATATGTTCTTCAAGCTCATCATAACTTTTGAATAGCCGGACTTTTTTGATATAATAAGACTTTAGAACTAATATCTTGAAATTTTTGGTAGCTTCAAATGTAGAAGGCAATTAAAGGCTTTGTACAATCATGTGATATTTGTTCAAGATTCAAAACTCCTTATCATCGATCTTATGGACTTCTTCAGTCATTATTTATTTCAAAACAACTATGGTCTTTTGTTTTTATGGATTTTATCATAGATCTTTCAATTTCAAGTTCATATAATTCTATATTTATAATAATAGATTTTTTTATTAATATAACATATTTTATACTATGTACAAAATTTATCATATGTGAAGAAACAGTAAGCTTTTTTTTTTGACAATATCTATTGCTATCATGGATTGTCTAAAGATATTATATTAGATAGGAGGACTCAATTTATATCAAAATTTTGAAGAATCATTTTCAAGATATTAAAGGTGGATATAAAGCTCTCTTCAATTTTTCATCCTTAAATTAATGGACAAATGAAATAGATGAATCAAGTTCTAAAGTAATATTTGAGATGTATCATTAATTATCATCAAGATGATTGGACAACTCTTTTGCTATTGGCAATATTTGTATACAATGATTTGATACATTCTTCTACTCAATAAATATCTTTTTTTACCAATTATGGTTATTATCCATGAATTGATACTTTTGACTTTTTAAAGGTTGATAATCTAGCGACAAAAGTTTTGATAAATTATTTGGTAGAACTACATAGAAGAATAAAAGTATAATTAAAAGAAGCTCAAGAACAACAAAAGATCAATGCGGATGCCTATTGCAAGGAACAATCACAATTCAATGTGGATAATAAGATATAATTACTTTGTTACAATATCAAGACAACTCGTCATTGTGATAAGTTGGACTATTATAGGCTTAGATATTTTCGTATTAGTGAATAAGTCAATCTTGTTGCTTATCAATTATATCTATTAGAGTCTATGAAGATCCATCCTATATTCTATATGTCTCTTTTTTTGAACCATGTAAGACAATGAACATCTTGGGAAGAATATAAATTCTACTTTGTCTTATAGAAATAGATAATAATCAAGAATTCAAGGTGGAAGAAGTCTTAAATTCAAGGTGGTACCAAAATAGGTTAAAATATCTTATTCATTAGCCAAGATATGATGTTAGAGAATATACATAGGAGCCACCAAAGAATCTTGCAAATACAATAAAAAAGATTGAAGTTTTTCAAGAACGACATCTATCAAAATCAAGATAAAGTATGATAAATTTTTTCTATAAAAGAAATAAGATCAAAAGAAGATAGCATTCTACCTTTTATTCTTATTTGGTACTTTTGTACATTTGTGATGCTAAAGAAATGAAAAATCAATAACCAACAGATTGAACTTAAGAACTATTACTTGCTTAGTTATCAAACAAAATATTGCATTTATTACAATCTTTAAGACGGCATAATCAAGGTTAAGATCTTTAAAAAAAACATCTCCTTTTTCAAATAGATGGTGAGATACAACGTGTTTGGTATCACAACCTTAGAAGAGACTCTCGATATTTGGTGATTTTATTAAAGATTGAAATAATTCCTGACAATATTTCAAATATTTTATTTGAAGCAAGTTACAAAGGCCTCAACAACAATTAAATAATTGAGTGGTCTTCTTACATTAGTATGAGATACCATTCATGGCTGAGATGACCTATCAACCATCTTCAAAGAGAACAAAAATCAGAGTATGTGGCAAATACAATTTGTTCTATCTTAGATTTGATCAATATATAATGACTACTTCTTATAGAACTCATCTTTAGAAGGAGGGATAATGTCGGTGACATACATATTTATTATAATATTTACCTATATGATTAAGTAGAAATAGGTAAAAATAGATTTATTTTATAATAATTTTTAAAGAAGCTTCTTTGAAACTTTATAGACACTGCTTTGACTTTATATGTGTTTATAGTTGATTGATAGGATAGAACCTTGATGAATAAATTAATCACGTATTAATAACTTGTAGAATAAGTTAAGTATGTGGCATATATACAAAAAACTTGCCTTACAAGTTAACATACGTATCTTGAAAAGTCAACATATTTTAGAATTTTTGTAGGATATTGCCACATAGCTCCTAGTTCAGAGTATATATGGAAGTAAGAGTGAAGCCTTCTTCACTCTTGTCAATGCTTTTTTAGTCTTTAGTCTTGTTTCAAGACTTTTTTTTTGTCTTCTTGTCTTTAACAATAGTCATTATAGTTTAATACTATATCATCTTTAAGTGATTTTCTAGTCTATTTAAGTGTCACAAGAGTATATTGATATTTTAATTCTTTGAAATTCATGTCCTTGATAGATTATAGCAGAATTTTTTGGATTCATTTGTAAAATAAGTCTACGTGCTTTTCTCAATTCTATAACTTCTTTGTGTAAACATTAGACATTATTATTGGCTTCTTCTATAGTCATAAAAAAAATACTTTCATGATTTATATATATATATATATATATATATATATATATATATATATATAATTTCTATTCTAAAAATATTAATAATCTTTTGAAGATTTATAATAGTTCAAAGTCTATTCTCACTTCTACATAGTATAACATCCATAATTTTATTTTTTCTTTCATTTCTATATGAGATAATTTTAAAAAATCTACAAATCAAATTAAAAGAGAATAATTTACAACTTTTGTAAAGTAAAATAGTCTATTCTTTTTTAAAAAGAATCAATGTTAAAAAACCAAAAAATATTAGTATTAAGGTGGATAGTTTATAATCTTTAAAATAAAATAATTAAAAGTGGAATAATCTATCTATTTCTAAAAATAAATAAGTATAATAAATTATAAAATTTATGATTTATACTGAAGGTGGATAGTTTATAATCATTATAAATCATAAAAATTATAAAAAAAAGTAAGTAAAATAAATTATAAACTATCAACGACATGAACTGTAACAAAACTTGTTTAATTATTAACATCTATTATTTTTTGTACATGCTTTAAAAACTAAAATTATTTTATACATATTCTATAAGTTTATCCAAGTTTATAGAATCTAAAATTATGCTACTTACACATATATATATATATATATATATATATAAACATCTATTCTAAAGAAATATAAATTAAATATTTTTATTTATTTATTTATTATCAAAATAAATATTCTTTTTAATTTCTATTATTTTATCATTTTATTATTATTATTATTATTATTATTATTTGTTTGATTTTTACTAAGAAGTTTGTGTTTATAAGACATTTGAATTTAAAGAAATAATTATTTTTTGAAGCAAAAGTATTGAAAGACCTCTATTCTAAGAATTTGATATAGTCTTGTTTAACCAAATATGGCCAATTTCTATAGAAATATAACATCCAAAAATAAAAAATAATAAAAAATAATAATTTAATATCTCTTATGAGATGATATAAGTTTTAGATTTTAAATTGGTCCACCTACTTATATTTTAGCTACGAGAGTAGACTATGAACTTAAGATAATTTAAAATTCATAGTTACAAAAAAGTAAGTTTATAAATGGCAAAAATCCTTTGATGTTTGTACAAATAGAAATTCAATCCACATTGTATTATCAATGTTTTAAGATTTAAGCATATGTAGGCCTTTATTATATTGGACATTGAATACTTTGTCCTACATTGTGCTATATAAGATACAACTTCTCCTATACGTCTTACATGTCCTATATTAAACTTAATACAAAACATAAATGAATATGAATTAAAAATATAAATATAAATAGAGAATGTGAAAAGACTTCCACAAGAGGAATAGCTTTGCATTTAAAACTCAATAACTACTTTTTGATGTCTTGAAATTATAAGATTAACAAACATTCTCTTATTTTCTTAACATAGAACTTAGTTTTTTGATGATTTCATGATAAATGCCCTCCATTAAAAACATACTGCATGAGCATGAGGAATCTTCACCTCCAGGACAAAGTATCACTTACACCTTCTGTATTTATTAGAATCGTAGAATCAGTTCTAAATGAATGAAAGTCAGTTTTCAGTATTCAATTCTGTGTCCCTATGTCACGGCTTCCAAAACAATCCAGGTACGATTCGATTCCTACAGTAAATGAACCAGATTCTCAGAACCGCTAAGCAATTCCATGTAACATTACCTGCAGTATTTGTTAGCTTCGGCACACCTATGACAGATTAAGAACTTTCTAATCCGACCTTAAAGCATGCGGAAGAGATGTGTCTGGTTTGTGCTTGTGCATGGCACCAGGAAAAGCCAGAAGGTGCTTAAATGCACGCAGGGTAGCATCAGACAATCAAAAAACACCGAGGAAGACGACCTTGCATGAAGGACTCAAGAATAAAAGTTGGTGGGAAGCCTGCTGATCAACTCGCAGACGAAGTGTGTTTGTACCATTTGTTTTTCTATTTAAGATGAGGATAACCGCCCAGCTCGTAATCCAACATTGCCCCATCCTTGCGGCGTGCATAATCTTCCTTAGCACCAATCACAGTAATTAGCATTGCCCACGACGATAACCAGCACGAATTTTTCTGATGCATCATCACCTTCGACATCTCTTCCGAAATCTTAAGATATCTCGGAACTTTGCTAAGTTGATAAGAAAGACATTGTTAGTCTGCAAATTACAAAAAATAGCTTTTTCCCCCACAGCGAAGAAGATAGACGAAAGAAAAGCGGTGATTTTGTCAATCGGATCGGCAGGTTCTTCCGGTTGGAATGCCCTTCACGAGCTGGAGTTTGGAGACATGTGCAACCGGGTTCCAATTTTCAAGCAATGAAAGCGTGTTTCGCCAGTATTTTCGTCCGGTTTAAGCAACAGCGTTGAGGTTGTTACTATTACGTGAACCCACGACGGCCAAGCAAGTGGCAACGAGCTGTAAAGCGCGATATGTGACTAAGGCTGTGGGTACATTTCGACTTTGTGTTTTCGAATCGAAAGTGACGTTTCGAGGAGAACAAATGGATCAAGTTCTAGCGCAGAACGCTGTATACTTGAAACAAGGTACGATACTCTCACAATTTGTCCACGAAAATAGGCACAGTGCACTAATGACACAGTGACTTGTCTCACGGCCTGAAGCGGAGTGTTGAGCGGAGGTTTAGGGGTATATCTTTGTTGTCGCAAGGATTTGAGCTTCGTATCATAGAGGGTTTTAATATTCCAAGGGTCCGTAGCTGGAAGTCTTTGGAGAAATAGCCTGTAGTCTTGCGTCCAAGTACCATGATTTATTATCACTTCAGGCGTTCACATCAGATAGACTTGCACAGGAACAGGTTTTGCACACGCAGTGAGATGACAATGTGTTGTTGTAGAATAGATTGAATCTCCAGCCAGCAACTAACACAATGTTTAATCTTACAAGGAAGAACACTGAAATTCGGACTGATAATAACTTTATTTATTTCTTTTTGTCTGTGTGATGATTTAAACAGATCAGGGTGTGACAGTATGGGCGTTTGGGGTGATGATCACACTAAGATTATTCGGGAAGGATACCGGTGCCCATTTCGCCGTTCATGAGGATGTTATCATGCCTGGCCTGGGGCCCCCAACTCACCACCACACACGCGAGGACGAATACTGGTACGTAGTGGAAGGGAAGATGAAACGGACAAGAGGAGACGAGGTTTTCCATGCGACAAAAGGCTCCATTATCCAACTCCCCAAGAATGTGCCACACAACATGGTCAATTACGGCGACACTCTTGCACGGATGGTGGTCACTTACCCTCCTGCAGGATCCGAGAACTGGTTCCTGGACATCGGAGAGCCGGTGAAGGAGGAGTCCACACTCACAAACGTTGAAGATTAGTGAACTTGGATGTGAATAGCTCCAATATGCAACGTTTGTTCTCGTTGTATAAGGAATATCTCGTTATGCAGACATGATTGATAGGCAGTAGAAGTCTTGAAACACACATGGATAGATTTAGTGTCACATAAGTTGTCGAATGCGTACTTTGTAATGTCCATTAACATGTAAAAAAGTTCAAGCGTTCACTACAATAACTCAGGGTTAGAGATCTCTTGTCACAATGAGTCAACCGACTCCTACAGAAGGCTGAGAGCAATGAAAGACCGGCAGGGTAACTTTCCTAGATTTCAAAGCAGTATTTGCGTATCTTCTCTTCACTTTGTCAGACTGTAACTTTCAGATGTTATCCCCTTTGCCAGCGACGCATCCTATGGCGCGCCTCCAGACCTGTAGCTGAGAATGCAAGTATTGCTTGGCAAATAGCTGCTGAGAGGTGTGGAATCCATGTCTAGTGACTTCACCCACAGGGCTGCCCAGAGTATAATGGCGAGCAGAATGTTTCCAATTATTTGATGGATACAAAGATTCATGAGCATCTAAAAGTTAATGCGAAAGCTTCAATGCACAGCATTTCGACTTGTGTAAATCAACACTCGATCAGTCCGTTCAAACGTTCATACAGCTCAAGTACTCGCTGTCCATCATAAAAGTTAGTGCTTAAAAAGTTTGAGATAGTGTCTCCAAAGTCTACATTTTCATGTGGTTGCTGTGTACTGCTGTAAACTTGGGCTGTTGGGTTCTGGAACAATTATTGAATTTGTGATTGTTGATCCGAACTAGGGGTTCACATTCCGGGGTTTCGCTGCATCGTCGAAGTTTTTAGATAGAACTGGGTTCATATCTCTGGGCGGATCATGGGCCTCGTTTTCTCCGCGACTAGATTAATACTGGAGCCTATAAGTGTACACCATGTGGCAAGACTCTTTTTTGCTTATAGAAAACTAAGTGATAACTATTTTTTATACATCTCACAAGATAAAAGAGGTTGTTGCAGTTGCAAGATTTTTCTTGTTTTATTGTTATAGAACCCATGCATGTTATAGCACTAATTAATATTCTACTATTTTAAAATCATATTTTGTAGACAAAATTTTATTTTAAAGAGAATTCATATTCTTTATAATTATAATCAACAAGGATACCAACTACAAAACAAAATCACCTTCTATTTTGAGGAATTGTTGAAGTGACCCAACCATTTATTAGATCAACCTATCTATCATCATTGGTTGAGAATCCTATTCAGGTTAGTATATTGGATATAATATATATATTTATAACTATGAATAAGTTCTAAAGGACACACTAGCTCTAATTATCATTCTAGCAAGGTTATTAGATTATGTAAGACATTATATGGTTCAAATCAAGAATAGTCTACAATATAAATTTTTTAACTTTTAACAAGGATTGATTAATTTATTAAAAATTCTAATAGAATAAAAAGATTTCATATAATTAAATAATTTTATTATAAAAAATTTACATTTATTAGCAAACTTTTTTTAATAATTAATTAAAAAATATTAATTTTTTTTAGTTTTTTTAAAAATGAATAATAATTAAGTATTGATATTTAAAATAAACCTTAAAGTTGCAACAAACTAAAATATAATATATGTTTAGTAAATATAGATAATAAATTATAAATCAATGATTAATTTTTAATACTTAATAGTATTTATTATTTATTAAAAACTATAAATTCTTTAAATTAAAATTAAGAACATATAAAATTTATTATTTTTATAAATATTAAAAAATAAAATTTTATTACTTTAACAAAATATAAAGAAGGTTAATTTTATTTTCATTTTGTGCCAATTTCTTTAAATTTATTGAAAATAAATCAAATAAATACAATTTTTTATTCTAGTTAAAAGGCTATCATATAGTCATTTGACTTTTTAAAAAAAAAAAAAAAAAGAAAAAAAAATCTATTAATCTATCAGTTCAATATAATTCAAAAAAGTAATGTGATAACTTTTTTCGGTTGTAACAACAAAACTTTAATTTTAATTTTATTAAATTTGATTCCTTTGATTTTAATATATATATATATATATATATATATATATATTCTAATACATCTTTAAAATTACATCAATGGTATTATATTCCTAGAAACAAATCTAATATTGTATATTTCTAATTGAATACAAAAATAATATTTTGGATAAATCTTACAAGATTGGACAAATTTTTTATGGTATAACATTAAATTAAAAATAAAAAACTTGGTTCTAAATTGGATTTTAAAAAAAGTGGCATTAAGATATTAATTTTAAATTACAACAATGTCAAAATTATATCATAAATAAATGTATAAATACATAAATATGTAAGACAAATAAAATAATTTCAATAAAAATATAAGATTAATTTAATAAGTTAAATACATTAATTCCAAGGCATTCTTTTATGATGACAAAGTTTTATTACTCAAAAATCAAAATTGCATTGTTGATGTTGGCATTGAAATAGTAAAACAAAAATTATTATACCTTTTAAAAGAAAAAATGTATAAATATAAATATATATATATATATATAAGCAACGTTTATGGTGGAATACCCTCTACCATAACTCTAGAACAATGATTCTTATAATCACAAATCAAAATAGAATGTGATTGAAATTGGAAACTTAATAGACAATCAGCAAAAATAGCCAAAAAATTGCAACTTCTCATCCTATGTAGAGCATTAGCAGACATATACATCAAACATTAACAAAGCCAAAACATGCAGCAATGAAATTGATCAGCAAGTAACTCAATTAGAAATTGGATTAATTTGAGCTATTGATCCAATTCTTGTAAGAAAAAAGTAAAAGAAAAAGAAACTATTATATTACAGTGGATTAGAACTTTCTCACGACGGGGGATCCAAAGTCCACACATTCAGTCAGAATTCCGATGCAACGCAGATCCGGCGCCATCAACTTGTGGGGAGTTATCAAACTTACTGAAACGAGGTAATTGAACAACTAGGATCTTCAATCCAACAGAAAAATGGGGACCGAGACATTCGAAACCAAGCTCGAACTACTCACGCCATACTGTAGCCCTCCTAGATAACGTGCAGATTTAAGATATAAACTGCCCAAGACAGTGAAGTTAATTGTGGAAGACGTCTCGAAACAATCTAGAAACACTCGCGTCACAGCGGAAGGCGATAGCAGCTCCGCACCCGGCATAACAAACCTTGCACTGTCCAACTCCACGACTGAAGCTCCTCGTATCCTAAACAACAGCAGGAGTTCGCGGAATTAGCCGCCTTCGACGAGACTAGATTAGCTCATCAGAGGACTTATCCAGAGGGAGGCGTCAAGAATGCGACTAGATCAATTACACGCCGCAACACGTCCCTCGACCACGGCCCCAAGCCTCCGCCACGAAGGAGATACGGTCCAGAACCCAATTCACGACATAGCTCGATAAAATGTGCGATTGAGATCAAATCAAACCTGGTAGGACTAACTTACTCCGAACTGCTCGAAAATGGCGGCATTGAAACACCAGTACAGGCAGGAGAGATGTTAACTGAAAGGACTGAAGGGGCCAGAAAATACCTTCGGCTCTTTCTCCTGGATCAGAACGCATTGATCTCAACACCACGCCGGAAAACAACTTCTTAGCGTGGGGAGTCTTTTCTGCAGGCAATCTTGGATGCATTCACTTAGCAACTTGTGGGGAAGCAGGTGGGACACCAACACTAGTGCAAAGGGGAAGGGCAATCAACCACCACCACTGAGGCTGATCAACCTGCCACACCAGGCTACACTGTTCAAAGACACAGCAGGGACCCGCACAAAGGAAGCAATAATAATATTAATGGATTTGCATGTATACCGGAATACTGCAGCAGCAGCAACATGAGTCTAGGTGCGGGAGACCATTGGTTTTATATGGTTTTCATGAAACCTTATAAAGCCATATGAAACAAATACATTTGAGAAATTTGTAATGTAAGGGTGTTGAATAATCCCTAAAAAACTCAAGAATGTAGAAAGCACATTAGATCTTGTTGAAAGTATTGAACAATATCTTATTACTTCAAGAGCAGAAGTTTAGTAGAATTGATGTATGTGGACTTGTCCAAATAGTGTTGCATTTTTGAGGTAGTACTTAGGATATAATCAATAAGAAAAAAGGAAAAAAAATAAAAATGTTTATATTTTTTTATTGAAAATATGTCATTGAATGTAGATTCATTTTTGGCTAATATAGTACTATAGTTTACTTTTGATAATGTTTTTATATAAACTTTTGGAATTGTTAATATCCATGTGGCAAGCAAGACTTATTAAAGAAATCATATCCAACTATATTTATTAAGCAATATGGTTTGGATCCTTAGTAGAAATTAGCTTATGACAAAAATAACCAAGGATTAAGATAGATTATGATAGTAAACACATATATAAAAATACTTTTTAAGATATTACAAATACAAATCCAAATAATACATTTTGATCTCATTGTTAAAGAGAAAATAGTTTTTTGATCTTTTTTTCATGTATTAGACAATATAACATTCATCCATAAAGCAATCTATTATCTTAGACTATAAGATTAGATATTTTATTCTAAAGTTAACTTTTATGAAAACTAATATTAATAATTTATTTAAAAAAATCTTTAAGATCATAAAAGCCTTTAATAAAATTGGTAAAAATATTATTTATTTTTATCGAGGTTATAATTAATATAAGAAAAATCCATTTTATTTAATTTAAGTTTAAAGTTGAATATATAAAAGATATTTTTTTAATCATATATATATATATATATATATATATATATATTATAAATAACTATTTACTTCAACTTTAAGTTTATCTAATACCACAAATAAATTTATAGCCTTACTAGCTTTAAAAAAATAGTAATCAATCAATTACTAGCCAACACATGTAACTTGACAATCTTTAGATTTATATTTATATATGCCAAATAATTAAAAATCTCACTTTTTTAAATATACATCAAATCCAAATATCAACTAACACAAAGCTGTGGTTCAATAATGCTTCAAAAAACACTATAATTTTAAATTATAACCTACTTAAAAACTTATTGTTAATTTTGGGCCATAAAGAAGAAATTTAACATATATATATATATATATATAGATATATCTATATGTATCCTTTATCATGGTATGGAGTAGCTTTCTTGGAAGAATTTTTAAAAAAATAAAAAAAATAAAAAAAATCTAAGAAAACATATATTACTAAGATTGATTTAAATTACAAAATTGAGTGGAATGTTATATCTATAATACTATGTATACTATGAAATTTTATAGTATGTATATATATATATATATATATATATATGGTTTATTTGGTATAAAGATAAAAAAAACATTAAAATGACCTACTTATTTACTAAATTTATCCACATTATTATAAAAATAATAAAAAAAATTGATTATCTCTAGAAACCATTTTTGTAATCATAGTCCTCATTCCCACCCCCTTAATTCCCAACTCTTATTCCCTTTGTTCCTATTCTTCTTTATCCCAACCCCTTTGTTCACTCTCATTCCCTCCTCCCTATTCTTAGCTTTCATCTTGATCTCCTTTGTTCTCTTCATTCTCCACAATAGGGTGGATTATTTTAACATTTTCTTAAAGTTTTAGTACCTTATAAATAAAATAATAAACTAGATTTAAAAATAAAAAATATTAGATGTTATGAATGTTTTATATTTTATAAACTTCTTTCCAAAAAAGTAATAATACATCACAATTTTTACACCAACTTTAAAATATAAAAAATAAAATATAAACTTTAGCATTAATTTTTACATAATCTAAGCAAAGAATAATCTAAAAAAAAGTCACTAGCATAATCTAGATATTCAATTCATTTTTTTTACAAAAAAAAACCATTTAAATCTTCAACATATAAATGTTCTGACTTTTGATTATCATACATTTACAAATAAAAAAATTGGCTAAGAAAATGCTACGATTTTTAGCCAAAAAACTAAAGAATAAATCCAAGGTTAAAATTTAAAACTAGTTGGTAGAATTTAGAGAGACTATTAGGTTAAAAAAATTAAAATTAAAAAAATTAAAAACCAAAAAAAAAAAGATATATATATATATATATATATATATATATGTATATATATATATATATATATAATTTGTTAAAACATAAATGAAATAAAATCTATTAAAGAATTCATATAAATGTAAGATTATTATAAGAACTATACTTCTGTCTCTTATTGCTTACATTTTGTTTAAACTGATACATCAAAAGCATAACTCATACTATATTGTGTAAATATTATTTTCCAACAGGTTTTTTTACATTATTATTGTTATCTTGGATAAAATCCTGAAAAGCCATTGTATTCATGCAAGAGTATGATTTTAAATTTTTAAATTTTAAATTTTAAATTTTAATTTTTGCATATTTCACGGAGAGTAGCTGGATTCAATAAGTAGTTTTAAAATTTGTACCAAAATGTATAATATTTAAAGAATAAGCTATTGCATTTGCATGTGCTGGACAGGTGCATAATGATCGAAACTCATCCCAACCTCTTTTGAATACAGAAAGTCCATGTGCAATCTTGTCCCTCTTATTTAAACTATTTATAGCTATAAAATATGAATGAAACCTCGAAAAATATAGAGCTTGGGATGGAGTATTTAAAAATTAAAAAAATTAAAAAAAAAAAAGGTAGAAGAAGAAGAAACATAAACCATATGCTCTATTAGGTGTCACCTTTCTTATTTTTAATACTTTTATTGCTGAAATAAACACGTTTCTATGAGTTAGTAAATGCTCTAATCTGCAATCATTTCTGAATTGGAATTAAAATATTTTGGCACCAATATCCCCCATGTTGAAAGCTCTCTCTTCTTGCATTTATCTGGTTTATATATATATACACACACACACACACACACACATATATATATATATATATATATATGTATATATATATATATGTATTAAATTTGATATTGAGAGAGAGAGAGATTGTGTATTGAACACGATTTATAAAAATATATGCATGTAACCCAAAATATAACTTTGGAAATATTAGAATGTCAGTGTATTGAGAAGACATTTTTTAACACAAATAATGTGCAGATCATAATGTGCAGATCATTATGTGCAAGGACCATAGAGAATATGAGTTTTGAAAGAAACCAAATTTAGTGAAGACTTTTGCACAGAGAAATTGCAAAAAAGTTCTCGTTGATGTACTTACTTTCCACACACTCTCTCACTTCCTGAACCACGACACACCAGCAAAGGATAATGCAAACTTTATGGTAAGAAATGTTTTTATGTTGAAGGAGAGACAAAAATATCTCGGAGAAGAGGATGCTCTCACTAAAACTAATAAATTTAAGGAGCAAAAAGATATGGTCTCGCCCTTTAATTAGAAATAACATGGAGGTGGGTATTTCTGTTGTTCAGCGATCAAAGCATTCATGGCAACGCAACCCCGGATCCCATCCAAATTTGGCTATACCCCTAAATTTGGCTGGAGTCCTTGGAAGTTTTGCGGCGTCGGGTGGCCGAGGAAAGTATCATCCATCCAAATAACACACAATACATCCATAAATTCAATGTTCATTCATCTACTTTGGATGATAGTTCGGGATGCGGCTGCGGCTTCACCCGACGCGAGGCGCGAGGGCATTCAAGGCCAGAGCGTGACCCAGCTCCGCCCCATTTGCAGCCTGACATCCCTTCATTTAATGCGCAAGCTAGTGGTTTTCCTCGGTGATGCGTCGCCTCCAGCCGGACACAGCTCTCGCATTTCGCTTTTCTTCCTGACGAGCAATCAGTCTGCCGAGTACTTGGCACTCTGGGTGTGGACTGTTTAACCTCTCATGGCTCGCTCGCCAAATCGGCTCTGGGAGCCATAAGAGGTAAAATCTGAGAGCTTCACGGTTAACCCGTGAGGATGAAATCTCTGCGACTGGGTGTTCTCGTTGTTGCGTCATCAGGCCGCATAGAATACAATATCATGCGCATGGATCTGCTGTCGCCCGTTCACACTTGATCTCTGACGATTCAGTGAATGAGTTCGGAGGTTTTCTTTTCCTCTCAGTGTGTTTCATTTTTTCCCTCTTTTTACTGAAGAGGTTTCGTAGATCCGATGTCAATCACCGTGGCCAGCTTTGTCGCGCTTCTCCCACGTAGTGATTCGCTTATTGTCTCATCGCACTGTTATCGAGGTCACTGATGTAACGAGTGCTGTTGTAGTCTTCGCCTTCTTCATTACGCTCAGAGTACGGATTACGTTGCAGTGGTCGCTTACCAGTGGGGTAGTCTTCTCCTTCTGCTGCTGCGTCTTACGCAAGCAAATTTGGGATTCGAAGAGCTCCAGGACTTCTATGTCCTTGCTTTTGGATATTGTTTTTGCATTGTCATATAGTTTCGGTGTTGAGTTTGTTCGTGGTACGTCTGAATGTCAAGCATTTTGCTGAGTTGAACTAGTTACTCTGTCAATGCCGGGTCGCGGAACAAGTTCACATACTGTCACGTTCGGGGTATTAGATGCTTCTCCCTGGCTCTGTTTGTCCGAGCTCCCAGACGTGTGCGACATGTGTTGCGCAGAAGTGGCAGGGATTGCACGACTAGCACATGCCCTCTCATTGTCTGTTACATTTTCCTGTCGTGCGATTTGCGTCAGCTCAAGCGGCGAAGACACGACCGACTCTTTCCCCTCTCTGTCTTGAAGCATGGTTTTTCCGACTCAGGTCTGGCCAGAATAGGTCGTTGCAGGGAAAGTCCATTTTTATTCTGTGCACCAACGCCGGCGAACCTCTTATCCTTTCTCAAACCTCATCTGCGAAGACGTCGAAGCTTGTTGTCTGCCAAACTTCTTCGTAGTCCATTTCTTGTCAGCTATTGTCAACGTGATAGCTAGAGTTGGATGGCGGTCCTGCAAGGTTGACCCCAGGGGCCTCTACTGGAGAAGTTCTCACGACATTCTTACACCAATGTCTGCAACGGAGCAGACACTGAACATGTAGCTCAGCAGATGTGACGCGCTCAGAATGCGCTTCTGGAGTGGAGGGTGGGCCTTAGTCTCTGCATCAGCATCCACTGTCCGGTACACGCTTTGAGCTAACTCGAAACTGGTGGAAGTTTCTCGTCACGGAATTCCTCTTTGACTCAGCGTTGGTGTTATATCCCTCAATTTCTTCACCCTGCTTAAGACAGCTACAATCCCACATGTCAGATACAGAGATTCCTAAGGGCGATCATCAACGACTCTCGAGCCTGTGAGATCTAGGTACAACTCTCTTGGCACTCTCACATTTTTGCAAATGGCCATGGCTACTAAATATTGCCAGCTATCCTTGGATCCTTTCATGTCTTCTATTGCTTGATGTTAAATCGTAGCCACATGAAGACATGACTAATTTTCCCTCCGTGATAACCCGCCCCCTGTGTGTGTGTGTGTGTGTGTATTCTAACATCCCAAGGATGCCTTAACTCTTCGTTTGCCGTTCCAAATGTTTCTCTGAATGAAGGTGCTCGAAATTGGTGAAATGGCTGAACGCATTTACCGGCTTTCGCTAGGACTTGATCCCCGAGTGTCGTTTACAAATTTCTAGAGAAGTCAGTGGGAAAGGATTCAGTGCTGTCAAACCAATATACGTATGTCAGAGTCCAGATGCAAGGACTGTATCAACCTGCTTGTGACTGTATTATGATCGTGGCCATGAGCAGCGAAGTGGATATTGATGCCGAATATGGATAATGCAGGTCTTTTTGGCCAAAATGCTTCCTCTGTTGTTATAAGGCTTACAAGCAAGCTCTAATTTATGGCTTTATCCATCTCTCATTGCAGCATTCTCGTACATTTTTCCCGTGGTAGTCGCTAGTTTAGCAAGTAATAACGAAGTGTGGAGAGGGAGAGCGTGGATAGTGTAGCGTGTTCGTCCAATTTTAAATCACTCAAGCTGTCGTTCTTGCGCGAATTAAGTGCACTTCATGATGAATATTTCGTAGCTTCTAATGGGAATGTGGCGTGCAGGTTGGTGTAGTGGACGAGCTGGTGACAAATGGGGAAGAAGGGATCCACGTGGTTCAGTGCTGTGAAGAAAGCGTTTCGGTCGCCTTCGAAGGACAAGGAAAGGGACAAGGAGAGGGATGTCTCAAAAAATGTGGCCAAACCAGTGGATTCAGTTGGGGGTCTCTCTGCAGTTGAAGCCCCTGCAGTGAGTACACGCTTTCTGAAAATTTGACATTGAAAGAACTGGGCTTTGTCTCGGGTTTTTGTCTCGACCAACATATCTTTTGATACATTTTTTTGATTTCATGCTAGCAGGTTAAACCCAAAAGTAGGAGGAGATGGAGCTTTGGCAAATCATCGCTTCAGTCGTCTTCCACTGAAGTGAAGGATTACGCAGCAGAGAAGAAGACCGAAGATTACAGGCTCGCTCCCTACAGGACGCCGGACATGTCTCTGGCAACCAGCCGCAGTGCCACTCCAGTGCATCACATTCTGACACACATTTACTCTGCTGAAGACTTGGCAGCCATCAGAATACAAGCAGCATTTCGAGCTTATCTGGTACGCGTCACTTCTTTAGAAAAGTTAACCTTATTTATTTTCACCCCACAGAAGATCCTCTGTGAAGAGCTTCTTCATCTTATCTTCAATTCTCTCTGCGATTTTGACTCAACGTGCAGGCACGTCGAGCATTGCGTGCCCTGAAAGGCTTAGTGCGATTGCAAGCTTTAGTTCGAGGACACACAGTACGCCGGCAAGCAACAATTACCCTGCGTTGTATGCAAGCATTGGTGAGGGTGCAAGCCCGTGTGCGTGCACGGCGGGTTCGCATGTCGGAAGAAGGCCAAGCTGTGCAGAGGCAACTGCGGGAAAGGAGACAACTAGAATGTCGTCCCAGGAGATCTACGGTATGCTCAAGCTTTACAATTACAGGCAGTGAGACCTTGTAAATAGTGATATCGTTTCAGCATCTGAAGATCTTAAAGGGTGAAGATGAGAAAACCTCAGCTAATCAAACAATGAATGACAGGACGGAGGCTGGGATGACAGCACTCAAACAGCAGAGGAGATTCAAGCAAAGATACAAAGCAAACAGAAAGCCGCCCTGAAGAGAGAAAGAGCATTAGCGTACGCCTTCTCACATCAGGTAACATTTCTCGTATTCTCTGGCGCGCTCTTGTAAAGATTTATTTCTAATTCAAATTTCAGTATCAATTCTGCTTGCGGGTAAGTATCTGAAGTTCCCTAATCCGCAGATTTTCGGTCTTGAGTGACAGTTGTGGAAGGCGGACCCGAATCAGACGTCACAGCTCTACATAGATTGCGAGCCAGACAAGCCGCATTGGGGATGGAGCTGGCTGGAGCGGTGGATGGCAGCACGGCCCTGGGAGAATCGCGTCTTCGACACCGCGTCGGTTTCTAAGGATGTGTTCGACAGCTACTCTGTCAAAAGTGCCGATCATCACGATTACACACCAAGAAAACACACAGATGGTGATCCTCGGCTTAATAAGTTGCAAACGTTGTATCAAACCCAAGTACCCCCTCCGGTTCAAACAGCATCCTCCAGAACCGAGTCGTATTCTGGAAACCATCACGACGCTCGCAACGGCCCAGCCATGTCCGCCCCATATGGAAACGGCCATGGTCATAGCCACAGCCATCACAGTCCCAGCACGATGCAGAGAACGTCAAGCCAGGGAGCTTTTCATCCTCCCGTAACTCCGCCCTCAGCCTACAAGTCCACCCCCGTGCTCGTCCGTTCCGCTAGTCCTCGCACCAGCATACGAAGAGAAGACATCGAAGAGGGCGGGAGCACCGTCTCCGCCGCGACAGCCCGGTCTATGGCTTCTGGCCCTCGTTATGGAACTCGTTACAGTCATGCGGGATCCGTCATGAGCCGAGACGACGAGAGCTTGGCGAGCTTTCCTTCAGTGCCAAACTACATGCAAGCCACGCAATCTGCCAAAGCAAAAGTGCGTTCTCACAGCACACCCAAGCAGCGGCCAGGAACGCTGGAAAAGGACAACTCCTGGTCATCGAAGAAACGCCATTCACTGCCAATCTCGGAGAACATAGTCCCAAACTCGGGACCCATAATCCTGCGACCCTTCCGTCCCACCCCATATGCGCAACGCAGCCCCAGCCTCCGCAATGACCAACGATCTCTGTCTTCACTTGCCAATGAAAGCCACCAAGGTGATGCCACCCCGGCTTCTTCCGAAGTATCAGGTTTGAGGCCGGAGCATCGATAGATCTTAAGAATTAGTTAGTGTATTGTAGTTTTGGATGATTTCTCGGAGCTGCAGTCTGGTATAATCGAGTGAACAAGCTTCTAAGTGGAGGCACGTGGACTTCATAATCTGCTGCAGCAAACAGCTGTACTAACTGTTGCCTTGAAGATCTGTCACGGGCCCTTGGCTCAGACTCGACCCTCTGGATTTGCAACTACCAACGAGTGTTGGTTTTGTTGAAGCATAGGCTCTCAACTCATGAAGCTCCTTGACCCTAGAAACCTCTGACCTCAATTCATCTGCCCTGTTTTAATGAAGTGCAATTACTTAAGTAATTGCGTAGGACTGTTTTACTTTTGACCCTTCCACACTCAAAATTGAGAGCCCTGCTCTTGTTACAACCTCTCCGACAACCTGAGTGTTGCCGACAACAAAGGAGCTGGTCTGGTTTTTGCATTGCTACAGTTATCTGTATCGATCTGAAAATCGTTTTGAAAGGTTTATTTCGAGACTTAACTGAATTTTGAGTTTGATCAAATCAAGCACCCTGATGAAGCACCTTTCGAATGCTACAATTGCTACATGCGTCAGTGGTACATTCGATTGGCTTCGGTGTGGCTGAGCATCAGTAACTTTCTACTATGAATCTTTTGTTTGCAGACACAATCAATCCGACAACAATTGAATGATAAGCTACTTTTCCATGCCAATACGTCGGTAGGTCCTGAGCAATTAGAGTAAAGGTGTACCTGCCTGCATTCTCATTTACGATATACAATGATGGTACCCTCATGCCAGACAGACAGACTGCTACTGCCATGGCTTTGTGATGCATGTACTATGGCCCCGAAAGCTGCAGCTAGTAGGTAACGCATAGAATGCACAGCAGCTGATGTAAGCATCAAAAGACCAGCTACTCTGTGAACTGATTATCTAGCCTTTGGTCACCAATGGCCCCTCCATTGCAGTAGCACTCTACTGTTGCCAAAAAAAATACCAATTGCACTGCCGTGTAATCAAAGCAAACTCACCTAGTCTTACACAATTACAATCTAGCTGCTGTACTCCTCCAGATGGCACTCACATACAAGTAACCATCACTGTATTAAAAACCGGGTGAAATAGAAAAAGGATCATGCTTCATCAGGATCAAAGAATAAGGTTCCATGTATCATTTGTGATTCATCGGTGAATTTTACAGCGAGTGTACTACAACATAGCTGATTTTTCTTTCTTCTAGAGAAAACTAAATTCCTACTAACCTTCACTTTGGCAAGAATAAGGTGGGCTCTACTCCTCTTTCTTGGACGCCTCGTCCAGGGCTTGCAACCGCTCTACAAGAGGCGGGTGTGAATAGTGATACGCTGAGTACCACGGATCCGTATTCATGGCAGACAGATTCTCTTCCTGAAGCTTTATCAGACCAGCTCTCAATGAGTCCTTGTACCCTAATGAGCGGGCGAAGGCGTCGGCCTGAAATTCGAAAGCTCGGCTCACCAAGTTGAGAGCAAAGCTCACAAGATGGTGGAAAGGCATGATCGTGTGCTGGAAAAGGATCAACCCAATGAGCACTGGCTGTGTCGTGAACCCAAAGCTCAGAAAGAGGTCAGTAGAATTCCGAACAAGCGTATATCCTCCAAACTGCAACAGTGTAAGCACCTGCATAGCCAGGAATGAGTACATGGTATGACTCAGCTTCCAATGGCCCAGCTCGTGGGCGATAACTGCCACCACTTCCTCTTCATTTTTACATTGAGAGATTAGGGTATCATACAGAACAATACGCTTGCTGTTATAGAATCCATACATGTATGCATTGCTATGGCTAGACCGGGTGGAACCGTCAATTACAAACAACTTCTTGAGGGGGAACCCTAAAGACGATGCCAGCTTCTCAATCTTGTAACGAAGCTCTCCTTCCGGCAAAGGGGTGAATTTGTTGAAAAGAGGCGCGATGAGAACGGGGTAGAGAGCCATCAAAACAAGGGAGAGCAACAACATAAACGCCCACAGGTAGAGGGCAAGATACGGGCCGCCCTTCTGCACAATAACGATAATTGCCGCAACTATGGGAGGACCGACTACCACCGTAAGAGCCAGCCCCATGATAATGTCCCGGAAAAACAACAATAAAGTTTGCTTGTTGAAGCCATGGCGTGCCTCGATGACAAAAGTCGAGTAGAGTGAGAATGGAAGCTCGAGCACCTGCGACCAAAGCGTAATCACCGCAAGAAAAGCAAGCGTATGCAAAATCTCACTACTCTGATCAAACCCTAACTTCCCTACCAACGATCCACTCTTGTCCCACGTCCACGGCAACAACCCCAGCAGAAGAGTAGCCGACTCCTCCACAATACCCACCGCCGCGTGCACGAAATGAAAACGGCTCTTCTCTAAACTGTATGCCTGCGCCTTCTCGAACTTCTCCATGCTAACTATCCCCACGAGAGGGGCAGGAAGGGTGGGCAGCTTCAGCGCCGCGTGTTGCCGCATGTCCAAGTAGGTCTCGAACAGGTACATGAACACCATGAATCCTACCACGGCTTCCAGGTACGGAAAGGGAGCCGGAGACTCCATGCTTGCAGATGCAGAGGACCCAACACGGGGCAGTTACATGCTCCACTCAATCCCGCAACTGCACGAGCAAGGCGCACACACCGAACCAGCAGATGCAAGCCCCGTATCACAGCCCCTACTCCAGCACTGGCGATGGCTTATAAGGCTACGCGGATGCAGGCAAACACACACACAAACACAAACAAACACACACAGACACATAGAGTGAGAGAGTGAAAGGAAGCCCAAACCCTAAACACAAAGCCTGGAACACAAGCCCGATTCCTGGGCCGTGCCACGCTGGACTGGACTGGACTGAACTGGGGTTTTGCATTCCCCTTGGTTTGTTTGTGTGGAAGGTTTTGGTGTAAACAACTGGAGCCCTGGTTATCCTTCTTTCAAATAAAATTGATGGCGTAATTTTTATTTTTTAGTTTTTAGTTTTAAAAATTAATTTCTGCAATTTTTTAATTTTATACATATATTCTCTCACACTTTGAGGATATTACAAATGTCACTATAGTTTTTGCTACTCCTATCACAATTCCTTATTTAGCACATGCCATCTTTGTTCAATATTTTTCAAACCATTTGATTGAACAAAATTTTAAATGAAATAAATGAATAACTAATTAAACTACAAAGATGTGTCAAGAGGGTGGTGGTTTTTGATAGCATTAGCAATAAATATATATATATATATATATATGTATATGTTTAGAAATCTTTACATAATAAATATCTCACTTTTATAAATTATACATTTAATGAATGCATTTATGTCTTTAATACTTCATATATAATATTATTAGATGTCATTGTTTGCTGTGATAAATTATTGCATTGGTATTTTACTATACATTATATCATATTGCTGTATGTCTATATATATATATATATATATATATATCAATAATGCAATTTTTAAAGTTTTTTCAATAGAAACCATATTTCAAGATTTTTTTTTATATATTTATATAGATATACATAAATACATGAATATACATACAAAAAATTTAAAAATATATACAAAAATGAAAAAAATCAAATTCAAATTCAAAAATTGCATGTTTTGGTACAATAAAAAATGGAGTTGCAAAACAAGACCTATATATATATATATATATATATATATATAGGTGTCAAGTAAAAGATAATGCAATACTTTTATATTATTTGTAGCAAAATTGGTTTTGATAAGAACAAAAAAATGGGCCCTAAAACCACTCTCATATATATATATATATATATATATATATATATACACACACACACATAAGAAATAACTATCACTTTTTATATATAATTTTTTTGGTATTACTTTAGCATTACTTTGAAACTTATGATTTTTTAGAATAAATTATATTTAGATTATTTTTGCATTATTGAAATTTTTTTGACTTAAATGTTTGATTTATTTAACATTTTGATTATTAGAGTTTTTATTTATTTTGAGTAATAAACTCATTTCAAACCTCTATTGTAATATAATGTTATTATCTTGTTTAATCCATAGTATTAATATGAAGAAGTTATTCTTCAAGCCAAACAATTACATTGAAATTGGAATATAAAATTTCATATTCCAAATTTATTGCAATAAACTTATGATTTTATATATATATATATATATATATATATATATATATATATATATATATATATATATATATGTATTGCAATAAAATAACCTCGCATTACATGTAAATTAGAAGATAAAATCATGTGCTTTTGAAAGCTTGAATATAAAATAAAATTTAAATATAGATTAAATAAAGTAGTTAATAGTATTAAAAGGTTAAAGTTTTGTGGAATAATAAATAATATTCTACAAAATAAAATATAGATTAAATGCTAATTTTAATATACATAACAAGTATATAGGGTTGATGACATAACAACTACATACTTTTCATAATACCATGGACAATGATTAAGAATTCTTTGAAATGTTTTTATAATTTTTATTTTAAATTAAATATTTTTATAAATTTAAAGTTAAAAATTCTAATAATAAATAAATAATACTAAACATAATATTAAACATAAAAAATAATATTTTAAAATAAAGATGCATTTATATTTGATTATTTGATCAAATTTATTGCAATATATACTCATATATATATATATATATATATATATATTAATAATAATTAAGAATAGATTCAAATAATTTCATATTTTAAAATATTATATTTTTACTTCAAATCCTATGAGATTTTTAATTTATCTAGGATTTATTTTATTTACAATACAAACATATCTTCTTAAAAAGATAATAGATTAAAAAGTAAAATTAAAGAATTACATTAGAAATATAATATTTTTATAATATTTTAAAGTTAGAATAAATACTATTCTATTCATCCTAATTTAAAATATATTAATAATCAACTATTTTTTATAGAATTTTGCTATCTAACATCTAAACCAAATAAAGTTTTATTAAAAAAAATATGAATTCTTTAATTAAAAATTATCTTTTAAAGGAATAAAGAAGAAGAAGGGTTTTGACCTTGTAATTTATTGCCATTGCCACTATTTCTTTGTAGCATGGAATCTCACCACATGCTATAAGAGTGGCATAATATACTCAAATGCTACAATAGCAAAATTTTGAATCATGAATGCAATAATGAGGTGTTGTATGGTGATGGATCAAGTTATTGAAAACTACTAGTTATTGTACACTACACACCTATTTTTGCAACATCAATGGATGTGTATCAAGAAGAAAAAGTTGACTAATTATCCATGAGTTAATCCATAAGATAAGCCATGAGCTAATGCAGGCACTAAAAGAGTTGAAATTACACTAAAGTTTGAGATCAATAAGCTGAACTAGTGTCAGATCTTGCCTTGCTTGCAAGGTGTTAATGTGGAAAATAATAAAAAATAAAACTCATGAAATAAGCTCACTTACCACTACAATTGTAGAATTGCAAGTTTAAATATAAATGGTTTTTATGTTAGAAGTTAAGTATTTGGTTCTAATTTTGGATCTTGATTATATTCTATAGTAATCATTTAACTCACATGATAAGTAGGGATAAAGTTCCAACATCCTCCTTCACTATAAAATCTTCTATAAACTTTTAACAAAAAAATGCTATAATGCTATGAACCCTAATTTTATATTTTTTAATATATTCAAAACCTATGTAATTACTTGCCTCAACACATTAAGAGTAGTATCTTAAGCTTAAGAAGATTGGTTGACGGAGGCCAAAGATGGTTTTGTAGTAGTTAAAGATAAAAAAGGTAGTTGTTAAGGTCCTATTTTTGTGACTACCAAATAAAATCTATTAATTGAAACTTACTTTTATAAGTAGAAGCTAGAAAAGAAAGGGCAAAGTAATGTAATTATTTTTAATAATTAAAATTATAATTATCTAATAGAAATAATATTTAATATTAACTTAAACTTCTCTAATAGACCATGCCTCAATGGTTTGGTGAATATGTTGCCTACTTGCTCTAAAAAAGGTATATAAATCAAGTTTATTTTTCATGTTTCTATTTCTTTCTTTGTATAGTGGTGATGTGTGGCTATGTACTTTGTACATAGCTTGATATCTAGATTTTTTGCCATTTTAATACTTCCTTCATTGTTACAAAAGATTTGTATTATATTTAGATCTCAAAACTAAAATATGGATGTTGTTATAGAAGAGTCTAGTAGAAAGATGTATTGAAAAAACAAGGATAAATGATAAGAAGATAATAAAAACTTTAGTCTTAATATTGCTTTTTTGTAGAAGGAACTTCTATTTATTTTGTAGATGCATAAATGAGCCAAATCAAAGTAAATAAGATAAATAATTTATATAGGTATTTTTAAAAAATAATTAAGAATAGTTTTAGAAAAATTACTTTAAAATATAAAAAATTAATACCCAAAGAGGATCAGTTGTGAATTAAGATCAAAATCAGACCCTAAGGCACAAAAGTACACATCTACAATAATTTTTGGATTCTTTAGTTAATCAAAGATCAAGATTTAAGAGAAAAGAGAAGAAAGGTTTTTGAGTGTTGGTTTCAAGTGGTTTGAATGTATTTAAGATTGTTTTTGAGTGACTTTGGATTTTAAAAAATTCAAAGAGTTGTACTTTTAATAATTGTGTAAAATTTATAAATGATGTATGGGTGAAATTTTGTGATGAAGTGATAATTATTGGTGTAATTTGTCTTACAAATTTAAGCTTGATCTTATGGTATTGTATAACAATACAACTATATGGGAAAAAAATAAAAGTATAGATGTTATTATAGAAGAACCTAGTATAAAGATATATTAAAAAATAAGAATAAATTATAAAAAGGTAGTAAAAACTTTAGTATTAATGCTTCTTTTTTATAGAAGAGATTTTTTTTTATTTTGTAGAGGCATAAATGAGCCAAATTAAAATCAATAAGATAAAAAATTAACATAGACATGTTTAGAAGAGAGTTAAAAATGGGTTAAAATAAAAATTACCTCAAATTACTAAAAATTGATACCCATAGAAAATCAATGGTGAATCAAGGTCAAAATCAGACACTGAGGCACAAAATAATACACCTACGGCAATTCTAAAGTTCTTTGGTTGATCAAAGAGTGGAATTTGAGAGTATACAAGAGAGAGGTTTTTTAAGCATTGATTTCAAGTAATTTGAAATAGTAACAATTTTATAAAGACTTTGCAAAGCTATGGTTACTTTTGAGTGACTTTGGATTTTGAAAAATTCTAAGAGCTTGTACTTAAGACATTTGTGTAAAATTTATAAGTAATCTATAAACAAAATTTTATGACTAAATAATAATTATCGTATATAATTTGTATTATAAATTTAAGCTCGATCTAAAAAATTTTTCAAAGTATATTGAAGCTCAAACATTTTGAGTTTTCAAGAATTAGGATTTAAAAGAACAATAAAGATTTTTAAGATATTTGTTAATCTGCTCATTGGATTAAAATAATTTTTTGTATACAAGTAGTAAACTTGACTTCTAATATTTGTTCAAAGTTTGAAACCCATTGAACAATGAAATTAAGAGATTTTTTCTATAGAATATTGGCATTAAGATTAGAAAAGGAGGCCAACTAATACTCAAGCTGATTTTAAGGATTATCTTCTATTTGGTACGTTCAATCTTCTTCAAATTTATTTTACTTGTTTCAAACTTAGTTATTAAAAATTTTAAAAATTTTAAATTAAAATAAATAATTAAATTATTATTTATTGAGATTTAAATTTATTATAA